GTAGTAAGGCATCGCTGATATTTAAAGAGGGACACTGTTGACCATTTCTTGACCATTAATTTCACTTAGTCGTCTCTTACGACACCCACAGGAAAGGAAATGACCCATTCTATGGCGAAACCAAATGGACAGACTAAATTCAGAATTGAAGGCGTTGTATGAAATGTAGAAATTTATATTTATTTATTGAAAGGTCAGGACATTAATGTGATTGTATCGATGTCGTGATATCTTAAGTATCAATCGATGTAAATTTATCGATACACCAACATCGATATTGTTATCGCATTTTATATAAAAATCAATATAATCACGTTTAAGATGCATAACTCTACGATCAATATTATCTGGATAATATAGTAACGTGATTTTAAAATGATTTTATTTTATTTATACGTTATATTGAAATATTAATAAATCACTTTTAAATTTAATAATCTATATGCATCCAGCTGTTAACTGTCCACTTTTAAACATAGGCCACAATTAGGGGGGTTTTGCCAGTAGTTGCCACGCTTGGCAGGCGGGTTGGCAACCGAAGTTAGGCTTTGGTGATGTTTTAAGGGGGACGTTACTATCCATCCCTTAACTATTAATTTTAATACTACAGACTGATATTGTAAATGTAATAGTTACTTTGTTACATACTTTTTGTTACTTGTTAACTTAACGATTCGACAAATTATCACAAAATTTAGTTCAAATCTAGTACTTGATACTACATAGATAAGATTGCTTCACAAAAAAAGGAAACACTTCTGTGGTAAAATCATTTATTTTTATTTCAAAATTAAACTATCGATCTAATATTAGTAAAATTTCTACGGGACTAATCTGTAAGTACTTATATCCTTCCAGAAAAATAAGAATTTTTAAAATCGGTTTACAACTGACAAAGTCATAATTAAGCACACATAAAAAAAAAACAATCGAATTGAAAACCTTCTTTTTGAAGTCGGTTAAAAAAATACTTCAATTGTGGCAAAATCAATTATTTTAATTTTAAAACTAAACTACTAACTAACCAATTTTAGGTTATGAGGGAACAAACATAAAAAATACAACCGAATTGATGTTCTCCTTTTTTTCAAGTCGGTTGAAAAGAAAATAGGTTACTTGTAATTCCACTCGTGCATTCGAAGTCACGGATAAAGACCATTTTTTTGTTAAACAAAGTAATGATTTGTACTGTCCTATTTTTTTTTTCATTAAGAACCATAAATTCAATATAAATGATAGCACCATTATCTAGGACAATTTTAAAACAATTGAAAAGGAACATAAAAAGGCATTTATACACGCTCACTTTACTCCAAATTTCTAGTGTTATAACCGTCCCTATTTACATGTGTAGGTACAGCGCGATAGTAGCCGTGTGAAACCAACTAGCCCATCGGCGCGTGACGCCCGCCTGAATTACTGCACCCAATTGCATAGTTTTTCCTTTGTTTTTGGTAATAATTTGTAATCAGTGATGTAATGTTCATCGTTGTGCCTTTTTATCATTAGTTTTTATATTTCCGTACTGGTTATTTATAGAGTTTTTGTTTTTTCAAAATATGAAAGATAGTCTGTCGAGGTTCTGTAATAAAAGATGATATGTGAAAATGAAATAAGATTGAATGGCAAATTATGACGATTTCACTGGCAACCCACAACCGGCAATACACCTGCAATTTCTCTGATGTTACAGCTGCCTATAGACAACTCTTTTTTTTTGTGGACCCCACCTGCGCTAACGGAATACGCTGACGTTGCACCAGTGTAAGATGATAGGTGAAAATGAAAAGGCAGGTCGGTTAGCCCATCATGGTGAATATACTTGAAATTTTGCACGATGGTTTGCAGGGGGGGACCACGTGGAGCTTGACTAGGGTACATCGACCTCCAAACGGTTCTTCCTGAAAACAATCGTGGTTAATTCTTGTGGAATTCATCACGATGGGCTAACTGACCTGATTGAATAAGAATTGAGTAAAGAAATAAATAAGAAATAAAGAATAAAGGTGAGGCCTATCATCTCTCACCAGTGCCCCCCCCCCGGGGTTATTGTTAACGCAGCCAGGATCACCATTCCATTTCATTACATCACCCGTTAAAAAAAGCAATACGAGTAAAACAGTCTATTGATGTCCAGTAGTGGTACAAATAAAAAAAAAAATAAAATAAAAATAAATATCATTTAAATAGTGATTCAAACCTACACCTGGAATTAATACAAATATTATAAAGTATTTTATTTATTTATTTATTTATTCTTTATTGCACAATAAAATTTTGTACAAACGGCGAACTTAAAGCCATATGGCATTTTCTACCAGCTAACCATTGGGTAAAAACAGAAAGCGTATGAAGGGCAGATGTGGTGAAAAATATGTGACAATTATAGTAACACGTTAAGGCAATACACAATATAAATATAATATACACATAAGAAATGCACACATAATACATATACATTACTTTTAATATATATGGATAAAATAATACATATGAAATATATACGTATTAATATGTAAATACAATTGTCATATAGATATTAATACATAATTACTATTTTAAAATGTATGTTTATTTTATGAATGTTTGTATGTGTATAACTGCCATCTTATACTAAATTATAAATTATTGCAGCCAGTCTCGACTTCGCACGGTTGGACATTTTTACAACATTTTAAAAAGTGGTTATTGTGACATAACGATAATAGTTGGACATATAGTTTTTTGTAGTTATTGATATTTTCTTTAATATTGTAGAACATACTTTTGTTTTATCACCAATAGATTCCGCAGCGCACGCGACAAAAGCTATTTTATAGCATTTCTTTACACTTTGAGTTACCTTACTAAAGTTTTAGTAAGGATCCTTAATTATTTCTAGCAATAAATATAGCCTATGTTACTCAGGCTGAATGTAGCTTTTTAATGGTGAAAGAATTTTTGAAATCAGCAAAGTAGTTTTTAAGTTTATTCATTACAAACATACATAGACACAAAAATACAAATCTTTCCTCTTTATAATATTAGTGTAGATTTTTTTAGACCACCATCGAGTATCTCTGCACATTCTAAAGGTCGACTGGTAAAGAATGTCTATAGAATTACGTCCGCCTCTCGTACTACATTTTATTGATCAATAAAGTTTAAATAAATAATGATTTTGTGACAATTTCAATTAAATTTGCTTACTCTATCATTAAGTTCTACTGAAATTAAAATAGATTATAAAACGATTAACTGTATAAAGTGACTGTAAAGACAATTGGAAAGGAAATTAAACGGGCTGTCTACGGTAGATCAATTTGTCGCAGTTACTTTCACGAGCATAAAATAAATTAACCGAAATACTGCGGTTCAACATTGCATGCTCGAATTACAATTTTGTCTTGAGAAGAAGGAAACTCTAAGATTTTTCAATCATAAAATTCGACAACCTCTCATAAACCCGTTTAGTTTAGCTATTGAACTGATTTGTCTCTTTATCTTAAGTTAAAATTCAAATTTGAAAGAAAGTAAGAAAACAGTGTAATATATATAATATATATATAGTATCTACATACAAAATGCTTCGTCAAACACCCATCAAATATTTCATCCATGTGTGCGTAAATCGGGTTACCAGTATATACAGTCAATACTAAGTATGTAGGGGTGTAATGTTAAATTGGAAAAATAAAACTTAACTTTTTTAACAAATATACTCAAAAGAACAAGGTAAAGAGTGTATAATGATTTATAATGACACTTTATTAATTACTTTGATTTATATGTAAATATTTCATATTATATCATAAAAATAGTTCCATATTCAAAATTTAAAAAATCCACTTAATCTGGGAAATTTCTAATCCATTTAATTGCAACAATAAAAAAGCACGTTTTGTTTTGAATAAAAAATAATAGTAAGCCAAATGTTATCAAATTAGTTGACTAAATTAAACTATATAATGTAAGATTTGAAAGTACAGTATGTATATTATAAATTAAAAACAATACGTTTTGTATGAAAAAAATTAACATTACTACACTAATCTTGTAAATTTATATCTACATTACCAATATACGAGCATCAATTAAAAAATAATATTGTTGTATTATTAAAGTGCTTCTAATAAGGTTGTCTCTCTGGAAATGCCCAAATAGAAATGCTAGATACGATCTAATGTCTAATATTTGAACCTTCTGGAAAGTTAAGATAATTATCACCTGACGACAAACACAATTTACTCGAGACTTGAAATGTCTATATACATAAAGTATGTACTTATTAAATATTAAAAACAAAAAGTTCATAAAACCACTTGTCCTACAAAGATTATGACAATAGAGATATCGTAATAAACAAATCGTTTACACTCTGCACGTTGTAGTATGGTGCGATTGACAGTTGACGTTCCACCAGTTGTTAATCTAAAAGAACTATATTAAAATTTTCGGTCAACGATCAGTTTATAATAATTATTATTAATACTTCCTCACACACCAAAATACTTTATTGATTTTTGTGTAAATTACGTTTTGTTAATCAATTCTCAAAAAAATTCAAATAGAAGCTTTTTAATGCGGTTGTATTTTTGTATGTTTATTACTTTATAAATCTGTCATTTGTAAACCGAATAGGAAAATTCTTTTTTATCTAAAAGCATTTACTTACAGGTTGATCGTGTTGAAATTTTATCTAAATCGGTTAATTATTATAGTTTAGTTTTTAAATCAAAAATAACTGCCATTTTCGCCGTAATTGAAATCTTTTTTTGTGGAACACAATCTTAAATATTTAGTTTTAGTGATCTGTCAAACGCGCCATGATATAGCGTGGCGAGTACACCCAGTACCAACTAACGAACTCCGTACTCCCCACCATAGACCCTTCGTCTCGTGACTTAAGTATTTTTCCTAACGGTTAATTAATCACTAAAGATGAGATAAAATTATCTTATCGTAACGCTCATATATCGTAACCCGAGCAATTTTTTTAACGGCTACATCTTTTGTTATAGACCTGAGGCGGTGTGGGTGTCAACTGGAGTCTTAGTGGACCAAGCCGAACCCTCGGAGCTTCTGTTTTGATTGTGCTGGTGTCGATATGGGGTGGGAGTGGTGTTTATTAGCCCTTTTGGGCATCGTCGTTGCACAGGGTCCGGAGAAAAGTGAGTATTATTTAAATATCGAATTTTAAATTTAGAATGGCTAAGGAACTAATACAAAAGGTTATAGGTTTAATGTTGTATTAATTTTTTTTTTTATTTAAAAAGTCTTGGCTGTATTTACAAAGTTGGTGTATTTAAAAAGTCCATTTAAATATAGAAAATTGTAGTATGTATGTTTACGACACTATTATATGATCAATTATATAACATTTGACGTCAGTACAATTATTACATTGTAAAAAAAATATGTTTTACAAAAATTTGAAAAGGCTAACTATAGAATATTGATTCAGATAAAAAGAATACAATACACAACTGTTTTTAAGTAATTTACGTAAACTGGAACAATGTGCATGAAAAAGACAATGATTCTGGTATATGCAGTGCTAAAGCATTAGAACAGTTCTAATTACATTATGTAAAATAACATAATTATACTGAAGGCTAGTTTGCGAATCTATTTAAATAAAGTAACACTTAAAGCAATTATCACATATTCATATTTTGAATGCGCTAGACTCTTTCAAAACTGCATTAACAAAAAATTTATAATATTTATTGAAAATATTTTTTTTTAATTAAGAAAATCAGATCCATGAAGGCATAAGCAAGTACTGGCAGTTAATTTAAATATAATTCAAAGATCACGCGACTGGCGCAGTAATTTTTTTTTCACAACACGAACTGGTAGGTTGGATAGTCTATGATTTTTAAAAATTGTTAACAATAAAAAAAAAATATTAAAAAAAACTGAATATTTACTAATTTTTGCTTTAATTATTATTGTATTATGATAATAAAAGTAAGTAGGACGTGTACACTCCCACGAATGTGTCTCACCATATATAAATCGTATGTACCTTCCCTTTTCCATGATCGATTATCTGTCAACTATCAAGTGAAATGACTTTATACGAAACAATGGTGAGAGAAATACAAATGATGTATGGAACACGTATTTAACATGGAAGGGCTCATCCGTCATTCTCCTGAACGGGTGCTACTTGTAGAACTAGTCTGCTCTAGTTAAATTTAGTTTAGTTAAGCACCCAAAACTAATCTATTTTTATTATTATATCTATTTTATATTATTTAGACATATAAACATGGGTTTATATTTTAAATTTTATATTAATATTTTATAGTTACACAAAACACATATCTAGAGATTTCTGAACGATGTAAATTTTTTATTTTTAAACGACTGGTATAAAACATCTCATATTTTGTAATTTAATGAGACTACTAGATAATACTAATTTTGATGGTGGAACAGCGATTGTTAGTAATAAGATTTAACAGACCCATTGTTAGCAATACCCCATCAGGTCGACCTCCACGCGGTTCCCCCTGGAAACCGTTTTAAAGTCGGTTAAATATGCTATACCAATGCCAATTTGGGTCACTTTGTCAACTGTCCAGAAAAGTGACTGGCCCGTTTGCTCATATTTAATCCATTGCCCAACATTCTATCTAGGACGTGTCAGCGTAACGTTTCACAAAGGTTTTTGAGTAATTAATGTGTACTAAATAACTGAAATCTTCTGATAAGAACGTCATTTGGTAAGATCAGGCCCTTATCAAGAGCATGTCAGTGAACGTCATTCTTATATGACAGTTAGCTTAAAAACAACACAATAATGTTTCATAATTACATAGAGTTAATAAGATTTAATTGCTGTGTGGTCCCAGCATAGAATGGCTCGTCCCCGTGGAAATCGACCAGATAGGGTGTATTGATAGCAATGAGAACTAACCTCCCCATTACTAACAATCCCATCCCCCCAATCACTTGGCTAGCACATAATCAAAGCGTTACGTTAAGTACGTAATGATGGATGAATACACGTTTATACAACTAATCCTTGAGTTTATGAGTACACACACGCTAAGTAAACTACCGCGTCAAATAAATATGATTTATCATGACAATATTGTATAATACTGTATGTATGTACTTACTTACGTAGTGCGGTAGTGATTTGGTAGGTTACGATAGCTTATTTGACGTTCACCCGCCCATAAAGATATGTAAATATTGACAGTTTTTTTTTTTAATGGATGATAATGGTATGGTAATCTCGCCTGCGCTACCTGTATACGCTGAAGAGACCAGTGTGAGATAATAGGTTAGGATGAAAGCAGATCTGAGGGCCTACCATGAAATGTTTTCCGAAATTTCGGGTCCGAACGAAACACAAATTTGATGTTAAAATTACATGATATATACCGTTCAAAAATATTAAAAATGCTAAAATATCGTTCCTTTGGACTTTTATGGTAGGATTTATGACAAACGAAATGTTAAGCTCCATTTACTGGGTCGATTTCGGTATGAACAAAAACATGAAATTGAGTCCGAAAATTCGGAATTTCATTTCATGGTAGACCCCTTGATGGATCATCGTGATGAATTCAAGAATTAAACACTATGATTTTTTCACCAGGGAGAACCGCGTGGATGTCGACCTGATAGGGTATATTGCTAGCAATGGGATTGTTAGAACCCATTACTACCAATTTTTTCCCCCTGCATATAACTGTGAGCGTAAGAGTACATAGTTGCAGATAAACTGCAAAACAGTTTTATGGTACTATGAATATGTATTTTTTTTAATGAATGACAATGTAATGGTAACCTCGCCTGCGCGGGGGGGAAAGGGATTGTTAGTAATGGAGACTAAGAATCTCATTGCTAACAATATACCAAACCAGGTCGACCTCCTTGCGGTTCTACCTGGAAACTATCATGGTTAATTCCTGATGAATTCATCATGATGGACTAACTGGCCTGTTTTCAATCTCATCTATCACCCTTCACTGGTACTCCGCCAGCGTATCCCGTTAGTGCAGGCGGGGTTACCATACCATTTTCACCCATCAAAAAAAAAACCCCGTCTGCGCTAACTGTATACGCTTGAGGGAGTATCAGTGAGGGACGATAGGTGAGAATGAAAAGGCAGGGCAGTTAGCCCATCGCAATGAATATACGTATGTATATTCATTGCGATGGGCTACGTATTACGTACGTAATATGTATTTCACTTGAATTGTTTAAACGTCATTGTTGACTTTTATACTTCTGGTGTAATAAAGAGTAAAATAAATAAATAAATACTTTATTTTTTTATTTATTTATGTTTATAATAAATACAGAATAGGACGTTATTTGTCTCGTGTAAAATTTTGTTCAGTGTTATTCAGAGGAGAATGTTGAAATATAAAATGTTCACAGTATTTAATGCTTATTTAAGTGCACGTTCGCAACTGTAGAATACAATTTGTAATCGATACAACCGTTAAATCTTAATCGCGAGTCGATTCGGCTCGATACTAATACCGCAAACCGATTCGGCTGTTGCAATTCGTCGAGAATCGTTATTATTACTGTGACCGATCGGCGACAGCTGACCGCGGTAAATTGACGTCATCCGCTATTTTATTTACCATAGTAAAAATGGTTTTACAAAACATATTCAAATATAAAATTTTACTACATACATTTTACTACTGAGATTTCTATTCGGCTTATTTATAATTAAAGATAAATAATTTTAAAGATACAAATAACAACAAGAAAGAAAAAATCTATTCAGTTGTGGCAAAACCAGGGGGCCTACCATGAAATGAAAGTCCGAAGTTTCGGACTCAATTTCGTGTTTTTGTTCATACCTAAATCGGCCCAGTAAATGGAGCTTAACATTTTGTTGGTCATAAATACTAAAAGTCTAAAGGAATAATATTTTAATATTTTTTATGTTTTTAAACGGCATCTATTATGTAATTTTAGCATCAAATTTGTGTTACGTTCGGCTCCGAAATTTCGGAAAACATTTCATGGTAGGCCCTCAGTTATTTTGACCTAAAAATTAGACTACTGAACCGATTTAGTTAACATTTATATGAGACTAACTTATAAACATATCCTTTCAGATAAAAAAGAAAAAATTTCCAAATCTGTTCACAACTGACAGAGTTATGAGGTATCAAAAATAATAAAAAAATAATAATAAAATAACTCTTGAGGGTATTTTCTTTATCAACCGATTTCAAAATTCTTTCATTTGCTTCACATCATTTTCACATTAATTTAGGCTACCTATAAATATACTATTTTTGAATATTAAAATAAAAAAAATAATTAATTAATCGACGGAACCTTAAGCATCGTTATAGAAATAGTTATTTTAAATAAATAGTTAAAGTGCTTCCCACAAATAATATAGAACTGTAATCACCCAAGAGTTTATTAAAGGAAATAAAAAGAAAAATCATTACTTATATACTTAGATTATATAGATAGAGCCTCGCGTCTCAAAAACGAATCAACTTTTTGTCAGCTAATCTTAAAATTATCTGACTCGTTTCTTTATCAGTGTTCTATATATTTACGCATAAAATGTATTTTGACGTATTATTTAATAAATAAAATGAGTGTTTACATATTAAAAAGATGCAGAAATTATAAGAGAAAATAAATATAGAAGTTATATAATACCTATAACTATTTATCACGCAAAATTGTATGAAAAAGTTGGCCTGCTTTCAGCATGTGTATGAAGACACTCTATCTATTATTCTAAGACCTATATATATATATATATATATATATATATATATATATATATATATATATATATCAAATTTATTTAAAAAAAGAATAGATTTTATGAAGAAACTATAAGGCATTTTTAAAACAAAGTCAAATGTTAAAAAATTGAAGAATTTAAATTGTTTTCTTAATTTAAATTTTTAAATTACTATTTGCATGCCTACATTTTTATAAGACAATTACATAGCTACCAAAAACAAGTCTACATGGCTATGTTATAGTAATCCATCTAAGTGCAAATTTATATTATTCCATCATTATTTTTTTCATTAACTAAATGAGTATGTACTTAAATATATTATTGCGTTTTAACAAAATTAATACATATTTGAAGTGATAACAAATGAGTGAATTTATAAATCTATACTTATAAAATTTACCATGCGAT